ATGGCATCTTAACTGCTAGCCCAATTATACCTCCTTTTTACCTTTTAAGGACTTGATTCCAGAAACTACCAACTTTACCTGATTGCTTTGCTCATCACCACTGAATTATTTCAAATAGACTTTACTGTTTCCAACTATTAACTCCTTTCCACCTTCTCACTGGCAACATGTCTCTTCTTTCTTTCTTTCTTTTTTTTTTTTAATTGGAAAGTCAGATTTACAGAGAAGGTGAAACAAAGAGAAAGATCTTCCATCTGCTGGTTCATTCCTCAAGCAGCTGCAATGGCTGGAGCTGAGCCAATCTGAAGCCAGTAGCCAGGAGCTTCTTCCAGGTCTCCTACACGTGTGCAGGGTTCCAAGGCTTTGGGCTGTCCTCTACTGCTCTCCCAGGACACAAGGGAAATGCATAACTCAAGTCTCTGCATTGCCTGCACCTTCATAATCAGCATGGTAATATGGGCCTCCCACTTGCTCTTTCTTGGATGACTGTTAACCCTCCAGTAGATGGTCTCTCTTCATGTGGAACTCTGATTACCCTAAAATCCTTTCTTAAAGAAACAGCCTAATTCTTTGCCATGTTCACAAATCCCTGCAAGATGTCTGTGTGATCCACTCCTGATCACCTTGCCAATCTGAAATAAAACAGTTCCCCTGGCTCGCTCAATATATGATTTTAGCACTATGGTCCACTTCCTGTTGCTTGAGCAGGCCCACTTTATTCCTAGATTGAGATTTTTGAAGGACACGATGAGGCCTTCTATGAATTCACCTAGGAACCATCAACCCTCCTAGTGGTTCTCTGTCCCTTGTACTTGTTTTCTAGTTTGTCTCCTTCACATTGTAAATTACATGTAATATGATCTAATTTTTTCCTTTTCAACTGTTTTCTACACTACAATATAATTTTTCATTCATTGTTATATTCCTAGCATCCATAAAAACACTTGACAGGCTCTCAATAAATATTTGTTTAAAGGAATTTTAATAGGACAAAAAAGGGAATTTTCAACAATATATAAATGTAGCCAGGAATCAGAGAAATATTTATCATTCTGAACCCAACAGATAATAAACTAAATAAATATACCCTTCTTTGTAGGATTAAAGACTTCAACAGAGACAAATAATAGTCTTCAGTAAGTGATGTTGGGCATCTGGATAGCTACATGAAATAGAATAATACTGGATCTAACACAGTATTATATACAAAAATTCACTAAAAGTTACCACACACAAGCAAGAGGTAACATTATAAAAATAATAGAGAAACAGACAAATAAATCTTCCTGACACAGGGTTAAGCAATGGTTTCTTATACATGACCTGTAAATCATATGAGAAAAGAAAAGTAAACTTCATAAAACATCAAACATTGGGTCCACTGTTGTGGCATAGTGAACAAAGCTACATCCTGTATGTGTACTGGTTCATGTCCTGGTTGCTCCACTTTTAATCCAGCTCCCTGCTAATGGCCTGGGAAAAGCAGCAGAAGATCCGACAGTAGCTAAGAAACAGCCAATCATGGGGGAGACCTGGTTGAAGCTCCAGGTTTCAGGCTGGTTCAACTTCGGCCCTTGTAGCCACTTGGGGAGTGAATTAAAGGATAGAAGGCTACTCTTTCACTGTAACTCTATCAAATAAGTAAGTAGATATTGGGAAAAAAGGAGAAATATTTGGTTTTAAAGGAAACTAATAAGTGAAAAGAAAATAAATTTGGATTAAATATTTGCAAATTACCTGCTTGCTAAGACATCTATACCTAGAATATATAAGCCACTCTTAAAAGTGAACAACAAAACGGGCCCGGCATGATGGCTCAGCTGACTAATCCATTAGAGTGCCAATTTATGTCCAGTTGCTCCACTTCTCATCTAGCTCCCCACTTACGGCCTGAGAGGGCAGTGGAAGATGGCCCAAAGCCTGGGGACCCTCGCAGCCACATGAGAGACCTGCAAGAAGCTCCTGGCTCCTGGTTTTGGATCAGCTCAGTTCTGGCTGTTGTGGCCACTTGGGGAGTGGACCAGCAGATGGAAGATCTTTCTATCTCCTCTATAAATCAACCTTTCCAATAAAAAGAAATAAATCCTTCAAGGAAAAAAAGAAGTGAACAACAAAGAGTAAATAACTAAATAAAGTTGGCAAGGTACGGCGGTTAGTCCAGCAGTTAAGACGCAAGTAGCCCACACTGCAGCATCAGGGCTCAACCTGAGGGAGGGAGCAGGGGTGTTGGTGGTCCTAGTAATTACAAAATTGAAGAAGGGATAAAAAAATGTAATATATGCATACAATGGAATCTTACTCATCAATAAAAAAGCAGTAGTGATAAATGTTACACATGGAGAAGTCTTAGAAAAAAATGAGTGAATACAGCCAGGTAGTGAATACCCACTCTTCTGGGTGATTCATTTATGTGAAACATCCAGAATAGCAACATCCATATAGCAGAAAGAGTACTAGTGGGTGCCAACTGTTAGGGAGTAGCATGTATGTGCTAGAATCGGGAATGACTGCTGGAAGACCCAAGATTTCAACATGGAGTGTTAAAGAAGTTCTAACCTCAGATAATGGAGAAGGTTGTTCAACTCTGAACATAGTAAAGATCAGTGAGATTGTACACATTATTTTCCAAATACATAATGATTTTTTGTCAGTGAGTATTCTATTGCTCTTAACTACCAGGCACATACAGATGAATCAGGTGTTCCTTCACCCTCAGAGTTTCCCAAATAGAAGAATGTTCTCCATAAAGACTCGCTAGATGTATGTAGGACACTAGTTCTTGTACATTCGGACAGCATTCCAAAACAAAGGGGAAGAGTAAATGTAATTATTGAAAGAGTGGTGGGGGAGAGAAAGAGACAGGCATACACACACAGACAGTTAAAAATGCCAGCTGGAGAATATTTTTCCCTTCAGTTTAGAGATTTATTTATTTTTATTGCAAAGTCAGATATAAAGAGAGGACAATCTTCCATCTGATGATTCACTTCCCAAGTGACTGCAATGGCCAGGGCTGCGCCAATTCGAGGTCAGGAGCCAGGAATCTCCTGCTAGGTCTCCCATGCAGGTGCAGGGTCCCAAGGCTTTGGGCCATTCTCAACTGCTTTCCCAGGCCACAAGCAGGGAGCTAGATGGGAATTGGAGCAGCCAGGATTAGAACCGGCACCCATAAGGGATCCCGGTGCAATCAAGGCGAGGACTTTAGCCACTAGGACATGCCGCCAGGCTCTTCTTCAGTTTTGTAAACTGCACACTTAACAATATTTAGTAATCTTGGTACTACAATCACTGCTGTCTGGAACAAGTTTCCTTAACATCTGCAGCCCAGGTCAGAATGTGGCTTGTTTTCTTTTCCCCTGTCTACTTTCCACTTGCCTATATTCCATATCCTATTGACTTGTGATAATCAGGTGAAAAAGTAATAGGTTCTGACTGCTTATTGATGAGACAAGTCATCATGCATTTCCTAACATGTTTAAGATGTTCCATGAAGAAACAATAGTCTGCTGCCCAAGTACCTGCTGCTTGTTAGGAGGTACTTACTGAATCTCTCCCTATATGTATAGAAACAGCCCACCACAGCGACACTCTATGAAGCATTTTTTGAACACATTAACCATTCTAATCCTTTCGAGTTGTTTGACCTTTCTCTTCGTGACATAATTACACCTGCCAAATGATGGATGTTACTAATTAATTATTCAAATTTTGCAAGTGACAGAAGAGGGAAGGATGAGCCATGATGTCATTGTAACTCCTTATTTTCTGAACAGCCTAGATAAAAGTTGTACATAAAATTAGCCTTGTTTGGGCCTGGCATGATATCCAGTAGCTAAATCCTTGCCCTGCATGTGCCAGGATCCTGTATGGGATCCTGTCCCATATGGGACAAGCTGCTCCACTTCCCATACAGCTCACTGCTTGTGGCCTGGGAAAGCACTAGTGGATGGCCCACTGCCTTGGGACCCTGTACCTGTGATGGAACGCCTTTCTCTGTTTTTACTCTCTGTAGACTTGCCTTTCTAACAATAAATAAATAATTTTTAAAATAGCCTTATTTATCATTGCTGTGCTGTTTTCTTATGTTTTGGCATCAAAGGCAGAGAGACAGAAGATAGGAGACAGAATGAAACAGATTTTCCAACTATGGATTCATTTCCCAAATGCCCACAAAAACCAGGGATAGCAAAGGCAACCACATTAGCCAGAAGCAGAATTTGAAGTCAAGTCAGACTCAATCCCAGGAACTCTGATGTAGGATGTGGGTGTCCTTGGCGTTGTGCACATTGTTAAACTGCACTGCATGTGCTGGTGACGTCAAAAGCCAGGCCCAGGAGCCCAGATTATAAGAGGAGAAAATGCTGTGTTGAAAGCAGCTCTGGATACTTTCAATGAATCTGTTTAATGATCAAGGGGTACTTTATATAATTCATCTTTTACACTAACTTTTAGGACTTGGTAATCATTTAACTTTAATAAGCCTCAATCTCTTTCCTTCTAAAACTGAAATAATAGATATGTGTTTCAAAGAAATAATCCATAGTGGTGTGGGAAAGGAAATGTGAAGAATTTTTGTAAATGATGAAGAGAAAGGCACTGTCAGCATCATACACCTTTATATGCAGCTTGCATCCATTTCAACACTTACACAACTCACTCAGCACTCAGTGGATGTTAGTGGTTGTTGTCTCTTACATGTTAAACATTCTTATGAAATTTGCGGAGAAAGAAATGACCGTTCATTCCTTACTGAATCTATATTCCAACCACTTCGTATTCTTAAAGGTTAAAAAAATGTGAAGCCACTTGCTAAATCCTCAGTCTTATGAATTTTAGATTAAATACCAGAATAGCCTAATAAACAAACTGTCAAAGAAGGTGCAAATCAGATTAACTTTCATAAAAGTTGTAAGCTATGAATGATGCATTCTAATTCATTGATGAATCACAGTGAAACCCGTATTTTGGAAGTTATGTTCCTGGTAATAAAAGCTACTTACTTTTTCAGCACAGGATCGTATCACCTCCTAAAAGAAACACAGTACAATAAAGAAGTATTCAGAACTTCAATTAAATAAAATAGTCACTCTTTTTAATGCATTTACATAAATCTTCTTAACAACCAAAATCAATAATTGGGAACCTTCTTCATCTATCACACTACAAGTTGTCATTCTAAATAGTTCCCAATGAACTCAGAAGACTACAAATTACAGAAAGAATGTTATGTTTATGGTTATTTTTTTTGTTTTTTTATTTTTTGTTTATTTTTTTATTTTTATTTTTGTTTAGTTTTTTTATTTTGTTTATTTTTGTTTTATATTTTTTTATTCTTTTATGTTTATGAATACAACTGGACAAATCCAAAGTCACTCAAAATATTCTTGAGGTTCCACAGACATCTGCCTCAAAACAAACAAACAAAAATATTTACCTCCTCAACAAACTTAGCACCAGTGGTAACACTCTGTATTAAAATGGTAACAGGTCTAGAAGATATACCCAGAAACAGCATTATTATCTAAACTGCTATGGATGGTTTACTTAGATATACCACGATATACAGTCCCTTGTAAACTGAGGAATATCCACTTATAGAAAAGAATTTGAGGTCAACCAAAATACAATTTCAGAAAAACAAAAAGGAATTTTGATAAAATGTAGAAATCTAGTCAATTTAAACCTAAAAGCTAGCAAAACACAATGAATGGTGGTGCCACAGGAATAAGAATGCCATATTGATCTTATTCAGGCAAATACATTGCAGATTAATACCTGAAAAAAAAATTTAATGAATTCTTATAACAAAATGAGAATAACTTAAAAAGTGCAGCAAACTGAAACACCTTTGATTTTCCAAAGTCAGCCTAGGTCTAGTTCCATCCCTAAAAAATTCTCTAGATAATTTTTCAAAAGCACTTGTTAAGAGTTAAGTCAAATAATGATACAGAGGCATCTTCCTTTTATTAAAAAAAAAAAAACTTTGTTTACTTCCCTATTGCTTTTGATTTCACTTCCTAAATAATATTTTTGTGACTTTTATTTTTCCTTTACATTTCCTTTCTTTATTTCTTATATGCTTTTAAAATCATTTTAGAAAAAAAAAAGTTACGACTTAGGTGATTCTAGGATGTTAAGTTTTATGGTAAGAAACTTATTGTAAGAAACTTATTTTTAAAGTATCTACACATGAATTGTTCTTAAGTCTGTAGATAATCTGGCATGCAACATTTTAGAAAAATAATACATTTCATCTAGTGAAGAAAATATTTTTCCCCATGCATTTTAAAAATTAGACATATAAATCTTGACTTCCTTTTAAAATCTGGAATACCCTACTGATTATACAATCATATCAGAAATGCTAAAAAATAAAAAAATTGCAACATATAAATAAGTTTATTCACTTATACTTACATATTCTCAAATTTAACTGAGAAACAGAAAGCATTTTCTCTGTAATCCAACTAAACTTACACATAAATATGGAGTGTCATCTATAGCCTGATGTACTTTAAAGCCTGTAACTTTCTAAAGAAAGGAGAGGACAAGGAAAGCAAGCATAAGTGGAAGTAAAGCTGTCTCAATACAGTTCTGTGTACGCTCAATTTAAAACCAGTCAAGGTTTAGATGAGTGGCAGAGCGAAAGGACAGCACTGATTGATATTCCTCAGGCACTGTGCCAGAGGCTGAAAACATAAAAATGAACAGAACTGCACGGTCTCAGCTCTAGGGGGGCTTGAGACTACTTTGTATTAAAGGTCCGCTTTGGTCACAGAGGACAGCTTCTTTATATATTTTACCACTCACCTTCAGGAAAGATTTTCTAAGCAAAATATATCAACAAATGCCACGATAGTTTTCATAAGCATCCTCATCATTTTCATCATCTACTAATACCCAATTCCTGTGGCACCTAGTGAGACAGAACCTCCAAAATCTACTTATAGAAGTAGTGGTACTAATGTTTTTGTAAGCCCAAGATTCTTTGATCAATGTCTGTGTGGATGTATCACTATTTTTCTTATGTTGAGTGTTCTGCATGTTAAGAATGCAGTTGGCATTGCTGCATGTATGTGTATGTGCATACTAGTGTTTGTTGTATAGATAAACACACACACAGATTTTTAAACAGATATATTTTAAATTCTATTCTGACAGTCTATCACTGTATTTTGGAGGAGGATTTTTCAATGCTTTTAAGATTAGCAAAACTTTTGTGCATTTACATAATAGAAAAATTAAATTCTATTTCTTTGGTTTTTAAAAATGTTTCCTTCATATTTAGATACCTGGTAAATGAAGATCTGATTTGAAGTAAGACCCAGGGTGACTCGATTGTATTTTTTCAGTACTCTTGGTTAACAGGTTTTCAACACCATGCAAGAAGTAACACTTCCTATTCCCACAATTTATCAATCTTTATCAATGTGCTTCACACTATTTCTGTTATTTCAGGTTTATAAGATGTTTCAAGACAAATAGTTACATTATCACCCTGGTTTCCCATCTGGCTCTTGTGCAGAATTCCAAATTTATCATCTCTATATTAATAGCTATCACCAGCAAACTGGTGGTGTTTTTTTTAATGTAACTATTTTACTAATACTTCCAGGACATTGGTGTCTTTTCACTAACTAAGTTGATAATAGATACTTTGATTTTATAATTCTTCTGTACTCAATCTTTAACTACCATCTATTTTTGTAAGCTGGGCTTCTTCTTTCAATCATATACACAATCTATTATACTTATCTTTTTCTTCTAACCAGTAACAACTACACTTATCAAAAGAATCCTGGATCCGAGACCCTGCTAAATAATTTATGTTTAGGATCTAACTGAATCTTATAGCACGCTATATAAGACATCTGTTGTGTTCACTTCCCTCCCTTCTGATGTACATATTCTTCTAATGACTTTTCTGCCTTAAAGGAGATTTTTAGGTTCCCTAAGAAGCAACACATTTTTACTGTTAGAGTTTAGGCTGTGCTGTAGGTTACCTACTAGAAGCTTCCAAACCTATTTCTGGTGGATTCAGGAATTTCTCTTACGTGGCTATGCGGAACTGAAACAGAACCTTCCTCTTCTGTCTAGATTTTTTTTTTTTTCTGTGAGAAGCAAGTGCTCTGAGACATTCTATACTGCTGACTATTTTCTCTAAACTATCGATTCGGGCAACGCCATTTTCTTCTGCTTCTTTCTTTTCTTTAATGAGTTCTAACCTCATTCACTACTTTACACATAACACTCCACCAAAGTATTTGGCACTAGCAGAGGCTGGTACTGCTGCTTTCATACTTAGAAAAATTGTTTTTAAAAAGAACAAAGGAGATTATGCATACATTAGTTCAACCTGTAAAACCCATAAAATTCTGTATCTGTGTTTTGAACAGTAAATGTCCTAGTCCATAAAACAAGGGTAATAAACACTGCCATGCCTTTCTTACAAGGCTACTGTATTAAAACAGGCAACATGAGCACTATGTAAGTGGAATGCATTATTCAAAAACTATTTATAGTTGTTTATATGTTTGTCATCAGCTACCAGATATGCTGCGAATTGCCATCAAGGGTCAAACAAATTTTTTTTTTTGTCCTTCTGAGTCTTAAATGTAGTAGATAATAAATATTCGACGTAACTAAGTTTTCTTTGTTGAAATTGCTGGAACTCAAACTGCAAGGCCAAACCATACCTGGTCAGTGCAACAAAAGTATTCCACAAGTAGACAAGGCTTGGGTGTTTTTCTTTTTCTTTTCTTTTTCATTTTTTTTTTTTAACCACAAGCAGATAGACAGCAATCATTTTAGGGATCTATGTTGGCTGAAAGGATCAATGCAGGATTCCAGGTAGAGAGCAGGCAATCAAGGAGACAAGGCAAGGGTTGGAAAAGGTAGCCCAATAAGGGAAAGTGCTGGAATACAGAAAACTGAAGGGCTAACCTAACCTCACCAAAATGAACAAAGGAAGAGCCACAAACAAAAACAAGCAACAGTGTCGTTGTAATGGAGTTTAGAAATTCAGTTTTTCTCTGTATTACCCACCTAACCAGACTGCTGTTTAATGAAAATTAGTTATGCAAATTGGGGAATATAACGAAGACACTGTTAGAGCTTACAGGTTTGATGAGGACAGGAAGCACATATTTGTTAAGCTCTGATTAAATGCTGAGGACTCTGAACCAGACAAGTTCTCAAAAGGTGGTTGTCTGAGCATTAGTGGCAGCCGTGCCGCTGCAGACTTGTCAACAATGAAACACTGTGGTCCTACCAGACCTGCTGAATCACAGGCCCTGCAGCTGAAGCAAGTCAGCCCATGAGAATCACGTACTCTAAAGCCTGAGAACTACTGAAGAAAGCATAAGACTGCAGACAAGCTTTGTACGGCACTTTGTAGACCAGGCTGAAGCAAAAAGCACCTGTTTGGAGAACCCTGTCTTCCCAAAGTGGTCCCACCACATGGCAATGAGAATTTATCAGGTAAGGGTCAAATTCATGGTCATCCACCTCCAAAGCATCCTGGTGTATGAGGTGCTGAGGGTACAGATTTCACAGAATTCATGATTGCAAACAAGCACCAAACAGGAACTACAAAAGTACAAGAAAGTGTATTCCTAAGGAATGAACTTATTCCATTTAATTAATATTTTTAGGTATGGCAAAGTAGGCTAGAAATGGTTTTTTAAATTCAACTGCAAAAAACAAACATACTGTGACAGTTTCGAGTCTCTGTTTCACGAGCTGCATCTTAGATGAAGCATTTTCGGTGTGCACAAACTCATCAATCTGAAAAGAGCTTTGAGGGGGCAGCTTTGGGCAGGTGCACAGAGCATCCTGACTTTGGTATATTCCAGGTAGTGGCGATGTTCCATTACAGTGTTTGAGCATTTCCGTTTCCTGCTGGGCTACTAAAAAAAACCAAACAAACAAATCCAGATCCATTATTAGTTAAAATCATCAGAGCAAAAGAATAATCAAGCAGTTAAGCCACGAAATTGGAACACTCAATAAGAAATCAGAAATTGGAAATTACATTTTAAACATAGGTAATAATAAGTTACTATTATCATGACTGGTAAAAATGTGAGTTTATTAAGTACTCTATAAAAAAGAAAATACAAAAAATTTGTATCAGGAAGTACTGTGATTGAATATTCAAGACCACGTAACTTGAAACAGGTGCATAAGAACCAACATATGTATAAAGAAAGCATAATATGACTCAAAGACTTAGTAGAATGAAAACGCTAATACAAAAATAAAAGTCATTCACAAACTCATATCCTTAAAACAACTTTTTTCGTATGTATACACTCTTCCAAAATTTTATACTTGTACATAATGTAAGACATGATAATATAAATACAATTTAAATACATTTTTATGCTTCTATTACAAGTCAGTTTTGAATGTTTCATAGTATTTCATTTAATGATGCATCATAATTTTTATGCTTTCTTCTACAACTGAATAACTACAACATTTGCTGTTTCTTCTATTATAAATCATACATGGATAAAAATGTTCATAGATGGCTTTGTTTCTGCACATAATTCTTATTTTGGATTTAACTTCTTACAGTGAGACAAGCAGTCCAAAAGGTGAATGTTTTTGAGGTTGACAGATGATGACGCGAATGACAACAACTGTGAGAATAGCATCCACATTGTCCCTTTTAGATTTTAGGTTGATTTAAAAAGCAAGCATATTTAAAAAATTTAATGGAGACTAGAATTAAAGAAAATTTCACAAAACTAGCTGAATTTTCACATCCATGAAGACAAGGGGATTTGAGGTTTGATAAAATTACTGGAACCAAATACAGTTTGTTATTGGAATAAACAAATGAATCAAGCAAACAGAGAGCTCAGTATGTACAGACAACATGTAAAAGAAACTCAGTGAGGAAGGAATATTTTTTTCCCAACAAATGGTGCTGGAACAGTTGGATACTTGCAAGGGAAGAAATGAACTTTGATACATGCTTCATACTGTGTATACAAAGTAAACCCAAATAAATCATGGACCTAATTATAAAACCTAAAGCTACAAAATTTATAAAAGGGAATATAGAAGAACACTTTTATGAGCTTGGATTAGGCAAAGAGTTCTTACATACAACACTAAAATCCATAAAATAATAAACTGATCATTTGGATTTCATCAGTTTCGAACTTCTGTTATTCAAACTGTCAAGGCAATGAGGGGACAAGCCAAGGACTGGGGGAAATTATCTGCAAATTATATGCCTGGTAGAGAACTTGTACCCAGCGAACATGAACCCTCTAAACTCTGTTATCAGAAAACAAGTAAGCCAATTTTAAACACACACAGAACATATGAACCGGAACCTCTGTTTCTGAATGGAGGTATCTGAATGGCAAATAAATACATGAAAAGGTGCTCGATACCATTAGTCATTAGGGAAAAGGAAAGTAAAACTTCAATTAAATAGAACTGTTTAACTCTTGGAATGGCTGGAATGAAAAAGACTGGCTATTTCCAACTGGGGAAGGATATGGGGATGCTGAAACATTTACACACATTTTGCATGTGTGTGCGAGTGGTACAACCACTTCAGTAAATAGTTGGCAGCTTCCCAATAAGTTAAAACACACACCTGCAAGAAGATCCAGCTCCTCTACTCAGGAAACTGACCACTAGAAAGGGAAGTATATGTCCTTAGAAAGCCTTGTACATGAATGTCTGCAGCAGCTTTGTCCGCAACATTTGAAAACTGGGTCCAATTCAAACACCCATCAACAGATGAATGGATAAACAAACTGTGATATAAGGAAGAACATTCAGCAAAAGAAACACTGACAAATGATAAAACACGGATAAACTTCCCAAGTATTATGAAAGCAAGAAGCCAAAAGACAGTACATTAGTTCTGCTGCTTTATGTATACACTATTTTGAAAAATACAAACTAAGTCATACTGGTTATACAGAGTGAGGGAAGGTAAGGAGGGCTAGCAAAATGGAGAACTTTTGGTTATGATAGATACGTTCTCTTCTTGATTGAGATAATGGTCTCACACACATACAGAAGTCTAGGGTGTGCACTTTAACTATGTGCATCATATTGTATGTCAATTACGTCTTAATAAGGATATTTTTCAAAATGCAAATGCTAAAATGGTGATAAAAGGAATAATTAATCCTTTTTTCTCATTTTTTTCTTTTTTTTTTTTAAAGATTTATTTTTATTATTTTTTCATTGGAAAGGCAGATATACGGAGAGGAGAGACAGAGAGGAAGATCTTCCGTCCGATGATTCACTCCCCAGGTGAGCGCAACGGCCGGTGCTATGCCGATCCGAAGCCAGGAGCCTCTTCGGGGTCTCCCACAGGGGTGCAGGGTCCCAAAGCCCTGGGCCATCCTCGACTGCTTTCCCAGGCCACAGGCAGGGAGCTGGAAAGGAAGCGGGGCTGCTGGGATTAGAACCGGCGCCCATATGGGATCCCGGGCGTGCAAGGTGAGGACCTTAACCACTGCGCCACCGCGCCGGGCCCAAGGAATAATTAATCTTAATATGCAGAGTCCCCACAAAACCCACTAAAAAGAATAATACAAATTAAAACTAGGCAAAAAACTATTACAGAAAATTCACAAAAGGACTAGATTAAGCCATTAAAATTATTTAACCTCACTGAAAGTTAATGAAGAAATTAGTCATGAAAAAATGCATAATAGAAAGTGTTTTTTTTCCTATATGACTGAATTCAGTCATATAGGAAAACATTTATGGAAAAATGAGATTTAAACACACATTATTTTGGTACATATGTTGAAATGTATGTCTATTTTTTTTATCACTACAGATATTTTCTGCAAACTCTATGAAGACCCTGCATATCACAATGGAAAGCTGCCCATGTTATATTATTAGCCAGAAGAAAGAACAGCTTAAAAATCCACAGAGTGAGTATATTAAAGCATAAACCCATTTTGGTTGTTGTTGTTACAAATTTTGATTTCAATAACCATCATTTTGAATTGACACATGTTAAATTTTAGGACTATGATTTTGCTATTCACACAGTACTGCACTCAGGCACTCGTGAGAAAGATTAGCTTAGCAACAGCTGGTGCATGCTTCTGGACGGCCCTGATGGTGCTGAGAGCCAGGCGACGCTATCGAGAAGAGAATCTGCCTGCACCTGCTCTTCCAGGACCGCGCACCCCTCAGGGCTAAGCTCTGCATGCTTACAGAAGTGCAGCCATTTCTCCAAAGGTTTTTTGTGTGTGTGTGTTGGGGGCGGGGGTGTTGACTATAATTTTTTCAATATATCATTTGGATCTTTATTATAAAGGACAATTGGAAAATTGATTTTCTCTTCAAAATTCAAACTCTTCTTACAGAATAAAGGAAACTTTATTTTTTTTCAAAGATGTGTGTGTGTGTGTGTGTGTGTGTGTGTGAGTGTTACAGTGTGTGGGGGGGGAGAAGGGAGCAGCAGCAGGTACAGGGGTTGAGCTGAATTTTACTACTGTTCCTTTTCTTCTTTGGGTTAAACTGGATTTTGTAAATATGAGATGCAAACCACATATATATTTTTTAATTTCTTAGGAAATAATTTTCTTTAAGTTGGTAAGAAATAGTAAAAGGCTAAATATTTGTTTATGCTTGCAGGTACTAGAAGGTCTTCTGGAAAAGACTGAAGTTTCCTCAATGGATATAGATAGAAAAAATGAACTTCAAATGATTATATCTTCTAAAGGGTTAGATTTCAAGGAGTCAAATTAACAGCTTGCTTTAACTTTAAACTTCCGGTTCTCTGAAAACAACTTTCAAAAAATCTACTGAAATTTACAAAGATCTAATTTCCAGAAACAGAAGCTACTTACAAGTCCTGTGTGCTCCCTCCTCCCTAGTCTTACACAGCAAATGCATACATCTGTTTGCACAAGCCTATTCAATTTCATGGTAAAGCAGGTTCTAACAGGTGACCTCTGCTATGCCTTCAAATTTCACACTCCAATCGGTGCAGATGTTTCTCAAAGACTTTTACACAGGCCATGGTCAAGTACAAGATTGCAATTGAGTAACTATTTCTTCGCCATTTTTTCTCCTTTGTGCTAATGTGCTTAAAACTGAGTTCTGACTTAACCTGTGTCCAATTCCACCACTCATGTCCATCCCTTCACCATTTTTTGAGAGGCTATGTGTCATGTGATAGAACAGGCTCAGAGACAGCGGCTCCTTCATGTTTCAGCCTTACGGAGGGGAAGGAGAAACTGCAGGTGCTAAGTTTGACAGTGCAGGAGCAGACTAGGAGACAAGAGCCGAGGCGACCGCCTCACAGGACCAAAGCCATGCTGTAGCCATCCAAACGCTTCTAAATGTGCTTCCAGGGACTACTATTTGGAATCTAAATTATACACAATTAAAACAGTTCTAAAATGTCATATTTTTTTACAACTGACAATCCTTTGATTTATACAGTAAGTTCAGTGCTTCTGTGTATATTCTGACCTTAAACAATTATAAAAAAGATGCGGTTTTCTTGGGAGATTTTTATCTTTATAGGAGGAAGAAAGGAGGAAATAAGATATTTTCATACACTGCCTCTTGCATTTAAATCCATGTTTACTTGTATTAATGACTTTACAGAAACGTAAAAAGTTATAAGCTTCTTAACACTTAACTCCTTTTTTCAATATCTGTTATTACACATAACCCTGTTATTACAGAATCATTTTACTGGATATCTAATTCTACTACTTTTAAATTACTAAATTTCTATTTTTAACGTGATTTCTCTAAGGTGGGTAGCTCTATTTTTCTAGTTTTTAAACATTTAACAGTTGCCCCAGATCCTCCTCTTTGTCCCTTTAACACTTGTCATGTGTAGCAATGTGCAAGGGTTCATCCTCTACTGCTTTCCCAGGCCACAAGCATG